GGGGGGGTCGGGGCAGTGCTGTGTCCCGCGGCCGCTCCGGCCAACCCTTCCCCTCCGCCGCAGGTCACCATCGTGGGCATCATCCGGCACGCGGAGAAGGCACCCACGAACATCCTCTACAAGGTGGATGACATGACAGCAGCCCCCATGGACGTCAGGCAGTGGGTCGACACTGATGTAAGCATCGGGTTTGCTGTAAACACTCTGCTTTAACAGCTTTTCAGAGCAGTGGGGAGATACAATATCTCAACCGGGAGGGACCCATAGGGATCATCAAGACCAACTCCCTGCACCTAACAGAGCTTTTCATCAAATAGATGTGGCTTTCCTGAAAGTGTTTTAGGGTTAACATGTCCCTGAAATCCCAGGGAGATGCTGCTGTAGTGCTGTGTGTGACTGTACAGCTGAGTTCAGCTCAACAACTTTGGGAGGGTAATCAGGACACAGTTGGCAAGTTTATCCTGACTCCAGAAGCAGCTCTGACCTGCCTCATACCCCAGACAGGCTGTGGAGTTGGACATTTACCCTTTTACTGTTCAAGGGTTCTTTCCTCCTGATGCTCTGTGAGAACCTCTCCGAAGTGGACAGAGACAGCAGAGCAGACAGCTGGCTCTGACTGCTCTCAAGTGTACAGTGATCCGATGGCATGTTCTCCCCTATTTCTCATTTACAGTTAGGTTTATCTGACTGATGCAGGTCCTTTGTGCCTGCTTGAGATGAGCCTCCTTTGCTCAGTATTTATTGTGATAATTGAGAAATGGGAGCATGAAGCTCAAACCTTTCTCCTTTCCCCTCTGTCAGGAGGCAGGAGGTGAGAACGTTGTGGTACCTCCAGGAACTTATGTCAAAGTTGCTGGTCACCTTCGCTCCTTCCAGGTAGGACGATGTTGCCTGACTCCAGGCTGGGAGGGATTGGGGATCTGGCTCAGTGCTACTGGGGCTGCTTTTGAACATCCACTTCACTGTAGTCTGTGCTCATCCTTGCCTGTGGACAAACCCTGCAATGCCTCTGTCAGGGCTGTATTTGATAACTAATTGCTCCTGACTGCAGAGGACCATTGCAAATGAGGATCCATTTAAAATGCCCTGTGTCATCAGTGTGTGTTTTCAGCAGAGCTCTGCAGGCACTGGGGTGTTTGTCCTGTGGAGCTCAGAGCAGGTTCTGGTGCATGGGGACACTGCTTGTAGCATATTTTGTGATGTGTTTGCCTCATAACTGAATAGTCAAACAGTGGTGCATGCATTATAGCATAGTGATGTTAAGTCCCAGCTGGTTAGACACAGAAGTGACCCTGTCCCCATTGTCATGTAAAATCACATATGAGTGATGTGGTTTAACCCCAGGGGCAGCTGAGCCTTGCCTGCCACTCCCTCCTGGTGGGATGGAGGAGAACTGGGAAGGGTCAAAGGGAGAAAACTTGGGACAGTCTAATAGGTAAAGCAGAACAGGGAATTCATTCCACATTTGCCATGAACCAAGAGGGGCTCAGCACCCCCAGCCAGGCTCTGTCATGTGTGATGGTGACTGGGGACAACAAACACCATCACTCCATCCCCCTTATTCCTCCTTCCCTCAGCTTTACACACTGAGTAGGTGCTGTATGGCCTGGGATATCCCTTTGGTCTCTGCTGTGCCCCCCAGCCTAGCACTGCTGGGGCTGTGTGAGAAGCAGGAAAGCTCTTGGCTCTGTGCAAGTGTTGCTCAGCAATGACTAAAACATCCCTGTGTTGCCAACACTGTTCCCAGCATAAATCCAAGACTAGCCTATGCTACTCCTTTCCAGCCAAAACCAGCACAGGATGTAGGTCAGAGCTGCATGCAGAGAAGTTTCCTCCCCAGCCCTGTCCCATTCCTGGATGCAATGGATAGGTTGGCCATTGAACGCCTTCCTGTTGATGATGTACGTTTATGGCTTTGTTCTGTGCTTGTTTTTTTCTCTGGAAGAATAAGAAGAGCCTGGTGGCATTTAAGATCATGCCTCTGGAGAACATGAATGAGTTCACTGCACACATACTGGAGATTGTCAATGCACATATGATCCTCAGGAAGAACCTTATGGTATGTACAGAGATCCTGGTTCCATCGTGGCTCTTGCTGGGTGGCTGCTGATCTCCCAAAGAGGGACCTCTGGCTTTGCTGAGGAAATGGTGGGGCTGAAAAGCTTAAAGCTGGGCTGCAGCTGGGTGTAACAGGAGCCCTGGCCTCCTTGTAGGGGATTGTGTGGTGTTCCTATAGGAAGCTGTTTTTCATTGCTGTCTCTGAAATAACTGAGTCTCTTAGGCCGTGGGCAGCTCTGGGTAACCACTGCACCTTTACTCCTCATTCCAGTCAGCATCAAGAGTGCCACAGTCATTTCCCTCCGCTGGGATAAGTCATATGGGAAGCTATGGGGGAGGTGGCAGCCTGCCAGTGAATGGACTCACAGCACACCAGAGCCAGGTGGGTGCCACAGCTGCTCCAGGGGCACAGCACAGGCTGCTGTGCTGGGGTGGAGAGTGGGGAAATGCAGGTTCAGTCTCTGTTTGAAGACTGGTTTTCCTCAGCCTCACTGTCCGTTGACAGAGGAGCTGAGCTCTGTGCTGATGGTGGTTGTTGCTTCTCCAGGTGCTGAACTTGATCAAAAGCTGCCCTGTCCCAGAAGGTATGAGTCTGCAAGAGTTGAAACTTCAGCTCAAAAATATGAGCATGTCAACCATCAAGTAAGTGTGTGGAAATGCTCTGGAAATCCAGGCAGTCCATACGGAGACGGGGAGGGCAGTGGACAAGCCCAGACACTCCCCTGTGCGTTGCTGTAGGTAGCTCGGGTGGTCCTGGCAGCACAGGGCACTGAGCCAAAGCTTTGGAAGGCTGCACAGCCCCGAGTGAGCTGTTGCCAGTTGAAGGGGTGATCAGTGTTTTGCTCCCTGTTTTCAGAACAAGCTGTTTTATCAGTTCAGTGGCAGTGTAAGAGGTGCCTGAGTGTCCTGCAGTGCCCAGGCTGTGTTTTCTCCTGTTCAAGAACTACCTTGGTCTCTGCACACTCATCAAAACTTGGGAGTAGTCTGTTCCTCTTCTCCTTTGCTGTCTCCTATACTTCTCCTTGAGACTTAGAAAATCAGTCAATAACACCCATGACCTTTCTGTGTTCTGTCCCCTCTGGAGCAGAGTGGTGGGTACTGCTTTTACCTGGGAAGTAGGGAGAGTTGTGACCTTCCCCTCTGTGGCAGGTGGAGTCTGAGCTGAAGGGGGAGCACAGTGCCAGAGCTTTGACACTGCTCACAGGACACAGCCACGAGAGCTTCCCTTGGCAGCTGCCAGGAAGGGACTGTGGGGGTGGGCTCTGGACATGGGAATTCACTGGCAGAAAGGCAGTGACATCTCCCATGGCTAACTAATTGCTAACTAGTTACAAACTGGGTTTTTTTAAGGCAAGCAGTGGATTTCCTCAGCAGTGAGGGACACATCTATTCCACCGTGGATGATGATCACTATAAGTCAACAGATACTGAGTGAAGTTCCTTCCAGCTGATTTCAGTTCTGAGCAAGTGCTTGTCCTCTGTGGCATGGAGGGTGATCTTTGCTCTTTGTATAAAGTCCCAGTTTCTCTGTGAATGCCTCCTTGGAATTCAAGGACAAGCAGGACATGCAGGGTTCCACTTACTGGACCTGGCTGTATGCTGTGACCATGTGACTGAAAGCAGACATGGGAAAACTGTCCTCAAAGCTGCAGAGTCTTCACTTTGTTTTGTCTCCTTAGAGGAAGCCTGTTAGAAAGAAGAGCCTCTTTCTAATCTTGTCATGGGCAGATTGTCTTTTGTTTCTAGAGCTTTCTCCTTACTGAGCTTCTTTTCCATTCTGTTTACAAAGTGAGTAGCCATATTTCCCTGATGTACAGCAATCATGAGTAGATTCTGTGTTTAGTTTGTGCATTAACATCTGGATTTGTACTAGTGGTGATGTGGTTACTAGAGCTTTTGAGTTGAGTATTTCCAATAAAATTTTAACTTGAGTGACTTGAAAGGCTTTTCTTCTGCTCCAGAAAGGAAAACCATCTCCGTGACAAACCATGGGTGTAAAAGCACAGCTCATAGTCTAGAGTTTACCTATCCTTGTTTTTTACCTTAGCTTTTCAGTTTGAAGGGTCAAACTGAAGTGAATGTTTGGACTGGAAGGAATTAAATAATTTTACTACTGAAAAAAGCAACCTCTTATACCAGTGTTCCAATTTCTGCCACCAAAACAGCTCCCCGGGGTAGGGGTCATGGGCCCAAGCCTGGCAGCGCTCGAGTGTTTGGCCAATGCTCTCAGGCACAGGGTCGAGTGTTGGGGTGTCCTGGGCAGGGACTGGTGATCCTGTGTGCAATGTTCCCTGTGTGCACATCTGTGGTGCTGCCTGTGGGACTCAGGGCCACTGCTCCTGGGGCAAACCCTGGTGTCCTGCTTGGGTTCACTGGCCCAGCTGTAGCCTGTGGTGCACTTTTGGGGTTAAATCATGCTGTAGGTGTGTAACAGGTGAACAGGCAGCTATGGAGTGCAGCAGATCTAGAAGCCAACAGTACTGTCATTTTATTTGTATAGGAGGTGTGCAGGTTAGGAAGAAAATGCTTTTTGGAAGTGAAAATGAATGGAATTGCTTGTAGTAAAAAGAGTTCTGCAACTGGATGAAACATTCATGTGCTGAGGGTGGGTGAAAGCATAAACTCCCCAGCTCTGCCTGGTGCTGTGCCAGCTGGAGTGCTGCTCCAGCCTGTCCTAGCTCCCTGTCCCCATCGCACATCCCTCGTGTCCCAGCCCACCCTGACCCTCTGCAGCGGGGCCAGAGCGAGTCAAAGTGCAGGGGAGCAGGGCAGGGCTGGGGGAGTAGACAGAGACAGCGAGGGGTTGTGTCCGGGCAGCCCTTCCCCTTCTGAACACCCTGGCACCGCCAGGCTCTCTGCAACTCCCTGACAGGGGT